TTGCCATTTTCAGAATTCTAAAGTTCTTCTTAACCTGGCATACAATCTACAGAACCAATAGCAGAGGAAGAATTAAGGCAAATCACTACTAAACATTGACCTCACCAAAAATGGCACCTGAACGACTCAAAAGAGCAGAAATGACATGCTGGGAACCTCCTTGTAGTTGGTTTATAATTATATTCCTTTTTTTTCTCCCTCTGTTCTAGAAGGCAAATAAAACCTGCCATAGCCTATTGTCATTCTATTATAATTCCATCCCCAAGTAGCCTTCAATGACATATTAATTCTCCAGTTTTTCATTTCTTTAGCTTGTCCTGGTGACTGGATTTATCTTGCTATCTTGGTATGTTGTAATGATACTACCTCCTACAAGACGCATCGTTTGCTCTTTCCATTATTACAAGAGAAGAGTCCCTACCAATTCAAAGAGTCAAAAGAGAAACAAAAATATTTTCATAATTAAGCAGCAATATAAGAAAGAAGTAAGTATAGGAACTTTTTATGAGAAACTTCAAGAAAATAGGTTTCTTGATTCAAGAGACAAATGTCACACTTTTACAGGATTGGCTTCCATTAGATGATAATTAGATGATTCATCATAAGTTAGTTTTAAATAACTGGCAGTAAGAAAGAACACATACAAGTTGTGAGATCTACAAGCAACTAAGGAGAGTGTGATATGAACCATACACAATAGAGGATAAAATAAGATAACTGCAAAATAGGTGGTAACATTTAGACCTTACTGTTGAAAAACCTCTTGTAGAAATAATGGGGACAGTGAGCTTTTAAGAGAGATAAGCCTATGTTCAAATTCCAGACCTATCTCCTGCTTGATGTGCAGGTTTGATCAAATTACTCAAACAGCCCAAACCTCAGTTTCCTCCTCTGTAAAACACGTGTAATAAATTTCTAGGTCACAGGGGTGGAATGAGAACTGGTGGGTAATGTGACATATGGTAGGTAGTTGCTATCGATTGTGGTTATATCTGGAAAAGATTTACTTTATTAAAAATCATATAGATTTCTTTTTTTTTTTATTTTGAAGTAGAAATGTCAGAGTTTCTTCTGAAGGTTCTACAGAGACTTCTCTTCCTAATTCATTTACCACATTGGCAGAAATAGCAACTGTAAGCTTAACTTGGCCGAGTCTGCTTCATTCATCTGTCAACAAGATTCTAAGGTTCAAACCGAGTTGACAATTGTGGAAGGTGGATGGAACGGAACTGCTGTGCAATGGCGTCATGTTTCACACCTCAGAGGGTTCTTGCTACCAACAATAACATCATATCTCTGTCAGTCAAGCATAATTATAGGGCTTGATAGACTGATACCAATAAAACAGCCAGTTAAAAAAGGTCTCCTGACTCCCTTCCAGCTGCATGTATAGGACTTGTTTGATTCTGTGACTCATGAATAGTACAATGGTACTTCCTTTTGGGACAAAAGGACAGAGGGACTGCACCCCCTCCTGACTCTGAAAATCGGAACAGGAAGAAAATTGGCTCCATCTGAAAACACTGAAGTTATTTCGTAAATTTTTTTTAATCAAACACTTTACTTCTTATTTCAATATGAATATATTCTAAAGATATCCAAAATAGGAGTGCAATTTCAGAGTCAGGAACACAATGGTCAAGCATATCATCATTTTTGCAAGTAAGAGTTGTCACATTTGAGTTATACACTCAAAAAGCCTGCATCGGGTCCTTTAAAGCATTATGCTTATACTTGTTACCTTTATGAGAAAGAAAACAGAAAAAAGTATTTGCTACTCACATTAAAAAAATTACATATATTGTCATAAAAGTGGCCCACTGCAGCCATTTATAGCAGAGACTCCTATGGTAGTAACATGTTTTTGTCAAAATGGACAAGGTTGAATAGCTTCTTGTAGAGAAAATTGATACATGGGATCTAATGCAAGTTGCATTTCAAGCTTTAAATTATAAATGATCTCAACATACAAGAATATGGAAACAGACAAGAGAAACATATAATTACATATCCACACATAATTCTAGAGTGACATATGCAAGCTTTCCAAAATATATCAAATGAAGATATAAATGCAAGGTTGCTAAACTAAATTTTATCATTATGTATGATTTTCTTTTTTTCTTTCTTTCTTTTTTTTTTTGTTAAGTCTTATTTGTTAATCTTACTTGAGACCATTACATTGGGAGGGCAAAGAAAATCAGATGACTTGACTCTTTGTGATAATGAGGGACAATGTGATCTGCCATCCTCCCCTTGGGACAACCAGTCTGTTGCTGTTTGTTCCTTCAGAGCCGTGCCCTAATGCCATCTTTTGTATAATGAGAAAGTGAATGACAAGAGAATCACATCAGGATCCTCAGTGACACTTCATGATCCTTCTGTTCACAGGAAGCCACAGTGCCTCCCATGCTCAGGGCCTGAGGAAGTTTATTTACTTGCCATAAATTATATGCCAAGAAGCAAGATTATTCAACTTTTCAGATGACCTTTGGACTTTATGTTTAGAGTACAGAATGGTGGCAAGAGCATTCGTGATTAAAATGGCAAACAATATCTTGATGTCGTATCCAGTATCTTATTTGGAGAGTATGTTAGTCACCCCACAAAAGCTAACTTTTCCTTGCTGTGGCCAAAAATGCCTGACAAGGACAACTTAGAGGAGGAAAAATTTATTTGGGGCTCATGGTTTCAGAGGTTCAGTCTGTGGTCAACAGAATCCTTTGCTCTGAACCCAAGATGAGGCAGAACATCGGTGGAAGGGTGTTACCAAGGGAAGCTGCTCCCCTCATGGTAGTCAGGAAGCAGGGAGAAGAAGGGAAGGGGCCTCAGGAAGACGAACTCATCAAGAGCACTCCCCCAATGACCCACCTCCTCCAGTCAGACCCCACGTGTCGATAGTCGCCACCCAGTCAGCCCAGTCAAACTAGGACAGATCTATTAGTTACAGCTCTCACTACCCAATCATTTTATTTCCAAACATCCCTGCATTAATGCAAGAGCTTTGGGGTTTTAGGGGACACCTCATATTCAGAGCATAACATGGAGATAGCTGAGTGATATTTTAAAAGACACAAAATCGGGGAGATTATTTTTTTTTTCCAAAAATGAAATTATATAAACTGACAGATATCAGTTCATAGAAAACAAGTAGAAGGAAAAGCTATACGTAAAATTTAAATGATGCTAAAATTAGGAGGAATAAGATCGCTAGAAATTAAAATCATCAATAATTGCATACTGCCTTTATATAAATATGTTGTTAATAAGTATCTAATCATATTGCTATTGTTCATTATTTACTCATTCATATTTACTCAGATATAAGAAACATCATGGAAATTTGTTATAAAGTCACTTAATTTGTACCTCTAAAGCAAATTTTAATAGAAAGCAGATAGTTCTTAGAAGTCATGGATAGGGTTTAGAAATTAGAGTCTCAACCAGATTTCATTAAGAGATATTTAACCTACAAGGGCCATATGATACAGGATTCTAAGTACTATGGTAACATCCACTGTATTAGTAAAGATAGCATAGCTGATATTTTTTTTCCTCTCTTTTCTCCCACTGAACATTATTGGAATGATAACATCAGAGGGTTGTTGAGAACAAAATGAAATCACATGTCTAAAGTGCCTAGGCTATAGCCTGCTGTATATTTAATAATGCTAGTTCTCTTTCCTATATTTAATAACACGAGGACAATAGAAATCTTTAAGTCGAAAATTTGGACTAATAGATAGCTAAGAAAGCAAGTGCTACTTGAATTTTCAAAGAATCAAAGAAGAAATATTAGTACCCTGGCAGAAATGAAATTTGACTATCTCTCCACATGGTAAAAATGTATGTTACACAAAAATGTCTTGAACATGCTACTCTAGCTGTAATCTCTGGGTTTTTTTCCTGGATGGTAGTGGTTTATTTCTAGTTTTAAAGACACAGGCTTAAATAGGAAGCCAAAGAGTAAAGACTCCTAGACCCAGAGCATGCCATCTGCCTAGCATTAAGCAAGAGCTGAAAGTCAGTTACAGAAGCAAAGACTTTCTGACCGTGATTTATGTTCCATCCTTGAACGTGACAGGAAGACTGCAAAAGATATTTGGAAGCCAATGCTTCCTCTGAATCAAGTAAATGAGTATATGCTAAGCCCCTCTCCCCAGACCATGTTGGCCTGTAGGTAAGTTGCCAATATGGAGTCTTTGAATCCTGCAGCAAACTGGCTATCTGGGATGAGAAAATATCTCAAGGCTAATGATCATTGCTACTGTAAAGGCACGGTGCACAGAATAAACTCTGGGGTCAGACAAGAGATATCCAGGATATTACTCAAAAACACATCTAGCTCAAAGCTGACAAGATAATCTGTTCCTGTGAGTGCAAAGCAGACTGGAATGCTAGAGCTATGACCTACTCAAGGAAAGAAAAAAAGAGAGTGAAACTCTCCAAGGGCTCCATCTCAGGCTCTTTATGCAGGCAAAGCTCCAACAGACTTCAAAGGGAGTGTTGCTAAGGAGGGAGGCCTGGGCCAAGCCCACAGGGGGTATCACTTCCGAGACCCTGTTGCCATCTACATTTGGTGGACTGGCAAATGCAAATATTTCAGATACGAGTTTAAACAGATGAAAAAAGAAGTGTGAAACAGCTTGGAGATTTGCTTGCAAAAGAAACCTCAGAATTCCAGGAAAAGTATTTAAAATTGGAAGCTTCTTAAGTTATCCCCAATGTCCCAAGTGAGTAATTGGTGTGTGATAAAGGATCAAAAATTAAATTGTGTTTTAAACGGTTACATATTGCACTCCAATCTCCAACATATCACATGATCCCCAAATTGTGAAAAAACAAACAAACAAAAAAAATTCTTTCAAACTTAAGTACTCCTAAAAGGTCAACAATATGTTTCTAGTTGAAACGTAGATAATATTTTGATGCTTTAACCAAATTTTAACATACATGATGCTGATTAATGTAGAAGAGCCCAAGTCATCAAATATACTTACAGGAGGACCTGTGGGGTAAGGGGTGGAGAGAGAAGAAAAAGAAAAAGGGAGAGATGAATTAGTGAGTGTGCAAAAATGCTAAGATTAAATAAAAGCTTGAAAGATCTTCATCATTCTCATCACAATACAAGGGACATGGAGGTTACTAAGAACTCAGTGATTATTGGTCATTTTAATCTAGATATGGACTTTTTTAGGTCATGAGCTCTTTGAGACCATCTCAGAAAAAATGCCTTTATACTGGCACAAAAATTTTACATACAATCTCATGGGATTTTCAGATTCCTCAAGATCTGTTTGTCAATTACTGAGAGGGCCATCATTTTTTTGGGGGGGTGCAGGGGAGCCAATACCTGGGATTGAATAGGGATGCTCAACCACTGCGCCACATCCCCAGCCCTATTTTGTATTTTATTTAGAGACAGGGTCTCACTGAGTTGTTTAGCACCTCCCCGTTCCTGACGCTGGCTTTGAACTTGGGATCCTCCTGTCTCAGCCTCTCAAGCCAATAGGATTTCAGGCATGCTCCGTCATGCCTAGCCAATTATCTTAAGTGAAGTCTGTTCCATTATAAGTTTAGATAAAATATGAATCAAGAAAATCTTTGGTTATTTAAGACAGTCCAGTTAATGAGAATTGATATCTAACTTCTTGAGTTAGGTAAAACAGCCAAATCAGAAATGTACCTGTGATTTGTTTTAACAATCCTTTTCATTCTTACTGAAAATACAATACTGTCAAAACATAAAAGACTAACTCCTAGTGTTTCTGCCAGAGTTTCATTAAAACTATGGATTCTCTTCAAAACCCAGGCAAAGTCTAAGAAAATCTCAGTATTTCCTGTACTATATGTTCAATTAAAGCACCAATAGCAAAGTAGCAAAGAAGTTGAGAACTGATTTTTATGTTTCCAATAAAACTTTGCATAAGCATAAAATTTTCTTTTTCCCTTAAATGCTCTCTTTCCTATGACAAAAACGTCATTTCCATAATTATGTGACTTCAGCAATATTTAGTCACTTCTTTTACCTCAAATTTATAAAGCAGCCTATTAAAAAACTTTGCACTTGGTGAAGGGATACCTTTACAAGTTTTCAATTATTCAGTTTCAGTGAGGTTGAAAGATAGTTTTTGAGGATACTTTTAAAGAAATCCAGCAGCTATATGGCTCACATTAATGAATTTTCATAATCTCTTTTTAATTTGACAGTTCTTTTCAAAACGGAAAAGGAAATGAGACCTCCCCAATCTCCCAATTAATCTGCTGTCTGCTCCTCCTGGGTTAGTCTCCTAAGGTTTCAACACTCAGTAACTGACCATTTTGAATACTAATAAACAACTTACAGAAAAAAAAAAATTCACAGCAGGTTACAATCAAACTTTAAATTACCTTACCATGAAAGTAGGAACTAATGAGCTGATAAAAACTTCATCTGGCCATTTACATTTTGGGGATCTTAGACTTCATAAAACAAAATAGTAAGTGAACTTACCTACTGGTAATTATCGTGGTTGCAAAAATATTTTAATTTGGCATTTCCATTTTGGTTTGCCTATAGGGATTTGGACTGAAAGCTAAAATGACTGGAGAGGGAGTCAGGACCATTAGTTCTGTTTCAAGTTTGGCTCATAAAAATTGCATGGCCTTGGAGGGATCACCTGACTGCTCCAGGCCTCTGTTTCTTCAACTACAAAATGAATATGCTGGATTGAATACCAATGCTCTTGTCATCACTAGAAGTTTTCAACTATACGAGAAGGATCAAAATCCCCAACACTTAAAAAGAATGGGAATAAAAGGATGACAAAATTGTGCCAGTTGGATGACATAACAATAAAGCTTTCCAAGGCATGTGCCTCAGTGTCCTAAGGCAGATATTTTTGCAAAAATCCTGTATTTCCTGACCACCTACAGAGATGGAAACATGGGCAATATCACCACACTGTGCGCAGCTAAGAAACCCTCCAGTGGGCACAGCAAAATTGGGAGTCAGTGGTTATCAAACTACAATTGATATTTTGTAAACTTCTTATGACTTGATAAAAACAGAAGAGTAAAAAAAAAATCTAAGTCTAGTGTAGAAGATTTAAACATACACTCAACCTCCAATAAGGAAGTAGTATCATTAATTAGAAGAAACAGATGTGGGGACCTCACTAGAACATGAATGACAAAGCAGCTGAGAGAGACTTACCAGATTCTCCTCTCCGACCCCTCTTCCCTCGTTTTCCCGGAGGACCTGAAATACAAAGAATACATTTTTGAGTGTACTTTAACTTTTTTTCCCGGGGTGGTGGTGGTGGGGCATTGCAAAATGGTTAGTACATGATTTCTATATATTTTCTCTCTGTTTTAAACCACCAACTTCAAAAAGAGACCTGATGTTTGTAAAGAGCAATGTTGCTTTTAGTGTTTCAGCAAAATTGTTAAGCTCTATTTAATTATAAGCTGATCTGATCTTCCAGTGTTACTGAAGAACATTAGAGTCAGAATTTTTGTTCATCCTGCTTAATATCATCAGTAAAGAAAGGTTTTGCTAAGCAAAGTGTTAGTATTGAGATTTTGTTTGTTAAAAATATGTATTTTCTGAAAGTTTTAGTATATTACCAATAGAAAGTACTGATTCCCCAGTGACTACAGTTTCTGCTCAGTCAGGTTTATGGTTTATCATAATCTTTCTAGAAATATTTAGTGAGCCATTAATTAAATGTAATATCAGTCAAGGAAAAGAGCTGTAAAATATTTCTATTTTATTACATGTGAATATATTGAAACTTCTTTAACTGATAATCACTTGAGTAAATTTACCTCTCTTAACTGCACTGCGTTTGGATAGTAAGTTTAATTTTTCTAGAGATGGATTCATTTAATGAATAGTCTTTGTGAGGATGCTATTCTAAAAATACAGAAAAAAACTTTTTTCCAGTGAGTTGACTCTAAGGACCACCAAGCTGGTATGTATCAGACTTAGCACAAAATTCTAGACATCCATAGCTTTCAAAGGCATTATTCTCAATTATATAATTTCTGTCCTCATTTCCTTGGGTAGGAATAGCTTCCACTGAATTATGGTTCAGGCAAATAGAAGAGAATAATTAGCCCACCATGAGAATGGAGGGCCTATAATATTGTTGGGAAAAAAGGCCAAGGAAAATAGAGAGCTGACTGGATTTAAAGCATGAGTTGCAGTATAGGCTTCAGCACACAGTGACTCTCAGTGTGACACAGAGCCACCAGCTTACACATGGAAACACTATCCTGAGAAATGAAAACATCAGTGGGCCAGTTAGTTTTCCCCCAAATCCTCCCACAGGATATGTCTAGCCATAAGTGTTTGGGAAGAGGGTTAAAATCAATTGAGCAATGAAATAGATTAAATATATTAGGAGAAGCTGCTTTGAAGTAAAATCCACAACAGACATTAGAAATTTCAGATTTCTTTCTGTATTCTGGGTTAAGGGGAGGTTTTTGTCATATTCAAGGTATTCTTGGTCAGGTTAAGAACAGGAAGAGAATCAAAGAACTAATTATTCAAACCTAGTAAGTCCTAAATAGGTATGAAAAAATATATTTATACACTTACTCAAATACACATATATGCATCTGTACATATTGATATTTTCTAACATATACAACTTCCTTAATATTAGTAATCAGATTTTTTGTTGTTGTTATACAAAGTCACTTAAACTAAGAACTACTTAAGAAACACTGTGTAGTTAATGATGTCTGTGGTTCACTTGGTAGGAAAAGTAGTAGAAGGCATTGTAAGAGAACCGTTGACCATTTTTCCAGAATAAAATAGAGAAATCCTAAGATGGAATTTCAACTTCAAATGACAAGTAAAAACAATACCCTTTAAATACATAGAAAGAGAAACTTGGGACTATCAAAAGATGAAGAAAAAATATTCAAAATTACCAAACAGAGTGATAGAGAATTACAAAAAGGCAGGCATTCTGACTGACTGCTGACTGACTCACAACAAAGGTGACAGAAGGTGCCACCCTAACTTTTAGGACACATCTTGTCCTTACTTATTTATTGGGAATTAGCTTATTTACTA